ATCATCGTCTCGGGGCCATTATTACCATGACATCATCCATATAAGAGCATTAAATGCCATAGTCCAGGGAATCGTGCAGGGCCGCCGTCATATGCGGCAATCGAGGAGTTCACAAACTGCTGTAGATTCATCCCTTCTGCTTCCCCAACCGATTCCTATAAAACGCTCCGATCGCTGGATGCTCCTATCTTCGCTCTTCCTCTAGGCTCGTGAACCGGAATCTCAACCTATTTGACATATTTTCATCTTTCTCTCTTTTTTCGGAAAGGTTTCGCCATTATTCATGCCCAGGACTTCCAGGACGGTACCCCGTCGGAACGACACTGTATCATCGTCCCAATCGGTTAGGGGGGAGAATAAATCGGTTCCCTCTTTATAGCAGTGGACCCTCCCGAGCTCAATACATCGAAAGATTTTGACATCGAGACTCCCGCGTGTACGCCATGCCGATGCGAGCATGTATCTCGATACATTAGCGTCGTAACTAATGTCAAAAATGTGAAGGGTGACTGTCGATGGAGTGAAACAGTGATAGTGGAAATTCCTGCCTCTACTGACGATATTACCGCTTTCAAGGAGGGCTTTCCTTACGTATATACCTATCTGTTTACCCTGGGTACCAACGAATCCATAGAATCTCCTCCTTTGGAACTCGATCCGGTGATCCTCGACTTCTGCATTCAGTATTGAGTGACTCTTGGCCAGATTTCCCCGTCTTTTTGGAGGATTGTGCTAATGCTCAGGCAGTTTACCGAGGGGGTCGCAGGTGAAGTTTTCACCCACAATCATCTGGTCGGATTATACTGTCCTCGGCTGTACCGAGGCTTGATCAAGCTTCGGCAATGGTCCAAAAAGTCTTTCTTTACAAGCATTGATGAAGGGAAGGACCAGGGGTGGATAAGCAGGTTTGTTCGAGTGCGAACCTCGGATGTCATCCCGGTCCAATGGATGCCTTTCCCCGAACGGTGGAACCATCGGCGTAAGTATATTTTCCATCTAATCGCTTCTCAATTTTTCTTTCCAGCGTCGTGATAACTTCTTTGTAACTTCCTCTAGCTTCTCCTTGGCACCCTGAAGAGATCCTAGACTTGGCGAGGTGGATCGAACGCTTGGACAGGAGGTTCCCGTATCATCTCCGGTCCTGGACCATCATGGCCGAGAAGCGTTGGGTGGCCAAGAACCATGGTGAGGTTTCTTTTCTACATGTGTCTCGTATTTTGTATTCCCCTCGGGCTCTAATCAATGGCGTCGCGCATTCATCGTGTTGGTGCAGGCCTTGGAGAAAATGTGCTGATGAGGCCACTCCCTGGTGGTGAAACGGAGGCCTTGGGGCTCGGCACGAACAAGAAAAGGAAAATAAGAGTTGCCATTGCTCGACCTGACGAGACTGCTGTCCCGACCTCTGATTCAGATCCTGATGTTGGCGGGGAGGATGACGACGGCAGTCCACTAAGGATGAGATCGAGGCCCAGCCAGAGGGGTTCGCAGGTGCCCCGGTCGGAGGCTGCTGAGTCCGGGACGACGAGGACCGGCAAGGCTAAGGAGCCGGAGGATCTTGGCGGGGAAGACGATGTGGTTTCGAGTTGCTCGGCCAGATTCGATGTAGCTTCTGCCAGCAGGGCTATGGGCTCAGATGGGATGGAGTTCGGAGCCTTCCAAGGGTAGGGGCCGCTATTCGATGGAGTTGGTGACCCGAAAGACTTTTTTCAAAACTATCCAGTCTCATCGGGAGAGTTGAGAGATGCTGGGAGGATGGTTGGTGTCACGACCGGCACTTCTTTCGGAAAGGAAGGCTTTATTGCCAACATTCTTGACGGCGCACCTAACGGAGTTGACCTCGATGTATCTGACGCCGTTGATGTAGCGGAAAAATCCCTGCGGTAGGTGACAATTTTTCCTTGAGTGTTTCTTTTCGACCTCGGGCGTTATTCATCGTTTTTCTTAATTTCCCCATTATGTCGTAGTGCAAAGAGATATATGAGCGCGTCATCTCCCAACTCAGCGGGGAACTTGCATGCCATGAGAAGGAGCGTGATGCCGTTGCTTTGAAACCGCAAGACTCGGAGTTTCGAGGCATCCGGGGGGATGAAGAGTTGAAGGAGCTTTGAGCCTCTTTAGAGGTGGCGCTTTAGGATAAGGCTGCTCTTACCGCACAGGTATTCTACTTCTCTTTTTCTTTTTTACATCTGTTCCTCTGGTCAGTACCTATATGTGTTCCTTGTTCACATATTCGCTGTCTTTCCTCTTAACGAAGGTTGAGAAGGGAAGCTCGAGGATTGATGAGTTGGAAGCTGAGATCTCTGGTCACGGGGCCTTCTTTCAGATGCCCGCAAGGAGATTGTTGCTTTGACCGCGGCTAAGCTTGATATCGAATGGGACGCCGTTGCGTACAAGGAGGGCGTGGCTACGGCACACGTGATGGCTCGGGCGGCCAAGCAGAAACTGGTCCGAGCTGTTGATCATGCCAAGGCGAAAGGAAAAAGGGAGATCCTGGAAGAACTCAAGGCTGGGGCCTCGAATTATCTGCTGACCTGGATGAGGCCCGTGTAGTAGGGGAGGAACTGAAGCGTTTAATTGTTCCCGACGAGGGCGAAGAGTATAGCGGCTAGGAGTAGTCTCCGATCTTTCTTTCTCTTTTTTTTCGTTCCGCATGTTCTCCCTTCTGGGAAATGAATGACGAAAAGATATACGATTGTTCTGTTAATTCTATGAAAGGGGCCCTTTTGTATTTTGTAGCCGAAGTTGGGTGATAGCTTCTGCGGACCGATGTCGAGGATTCCCCAAGGCTCCCCCCTGCTTTTACGAATCACGTGGGAGCCTGGAGTAATTCAGCCATTGCGTTCCCCAAGGGGAGGGTGACATTAACGCGGCCAGAATTATTCGTTTGGGCAGTTGGTCGGTCGTTGTTTGGCCGTTATATATTCGTCTATTCCTCCCTCAAGCGACGATTCTGTAGTCTCTTTTTTGATAATTTTGTCTCTTCTGTAGAGCCAGGTGCCCTCCGCGAGTCTCTTCATTTTTCTGCTTCAGGTGATTTCTGTCTGGATACCCCTCTTCTTCCAATTATTCTGTTGTGGCCATGGTCGCTGCTTCGACGTCTGATGCTCGGATGAAGGGGACTCCTTCCTGTATCTCGCCTTTAGCTGGCGATAGGGGTTCTCCTCCGACGTCAGGGGAGCGTTGCTCGGAGCACACTGTTGTCACACCTCCTTTTTCCTACACCCCGGAAGGGTATTAGGGGAGTTTTTCCAATTAAAGGACAATCGAAACTGGATTATTATTAGAAGATTCAGAGTCGCCACTTGGGAAATTTATGGTGTCCCAAGTCACCGGTTCAAATCCCGAATCGAGGAAAGGGTTGACTCTGTATTACAGTCCGCGAACCAGAAATTCGGGTAAAAAATTCTGTTAACCTGGGAGAAAGCGTTAGGCATTCCCGAGTTCCCAGCACGGTCGCTCAACTGTTATAAGTAGCCTAATTATCTGCTTTTAAAATAATTATGAACCTATGGGCAAACCTTAACTTTAACCGCTTTTATTCATTTTTAGAGAAAATTGCAACGTTATTAAAACATGTCTCGGACCACGTCACATAAATGCACCCATAGTTTTTGACATACTTTAACATCGTTGAGATTGGGATTTGGGTCACATAAATGCGCACCCGATTTTAGGAAGGTAATATTATTAAAATGACGCACCTAAAGCAACTACGCGTTAGCAACTTTGCGAGGGCCATGAAAATTCGCTAAATGGCACGCCTCGGATTCTAAGGATTGAATCAAAATTAATTAAGCGATGGCTGTGCAATTGAGATTTTTGTTCGGCACGGCACACCTCGATTCTAATTTTTAAAGAAAATTCAAAACTAAGCTTTGAGGGCCATAGACTATTTATCGTTCGATATGGCACACCTCCACTAATTAAAGAAATTCAGTTACCCAAACATTAATGGGCAAAGATTGTACTATGGTTCAAACTACAAAATACATTTTTTAGAAAAACTGGCTAATGGTTCGAAATTAATACTTCGCCTAACATGAGGCCCAGTTGCCTATCAACGCAAGGCTACCCCAAATGATTGGTAGCATCAAACCATGCCAGGCTCCGAAGAAAGCTCAACTTGAAGAGGCCCAGCTCCGGCCAGTGAAGTGGCTCCATTTCGAATCTCATACAATACAGAATATCTAACAAGGGCGTTCAAACTTACAGACCAAACTGTTTTAAGAAAGTCCAACAATTTAATAATTGAAGATTCGCAGTTAAATCAATTTCTGACGCTGCTACATTATTGTCCAAGTTACATGCCAACATTACTTGATTTAGATTAAAAGCAAATCAAGATTGAACCAACACTTATTTCTAGACCTTAATTAATTAACACAAATTGTATAGTTAACTTCCGTCTCTATTTTAACACTTACTAGCCAAGCATGTTTATGAAGAGAATAACGGATTAATGGGCCCGAGAAACAGGCCCAAAAAACAATAATAAGCTAGTTCCTCTGCACAGGAGTTCACACTCCAAAGCTCAAAGAGCTCAGAACATTTGAAAAGCAGAACTGGGGACTCTAGCCTCAATATCGAACCTAGACTGTTGCAAAGCAATTACAATTGACAGATAACATGTATTACCCAATACCATCATTACCCAGAACTAACACACATCAAAACTTTGAACATCACTAACACTTTATGCCCAAAAGTGGCTCATAAAAAATAACACCAACTAACAGAAAATAATCTTAATACAATCCCCTTTTGACTTAAAATACATAATGAAGTATAAGATGCAAACACTGATTCACTCAGCAAGTTCCATAATGTAACAGATACATGTAACTCTAGCCCGAATTTATTAGGTGCAGACTTAACAATTCATCTGAACCATAGTTCGATACACCCTTTTCTAGCTTTTATACTAACAAATTCCAGAAATTAACACTGCTGTCTACTAAAGGCAATTTCAAGTATGAATAAAAGCAAACACCCAAACCATATCAATCTTAAATATTCCTATATTAACGACAGCAAGTTCAACAGCAGCTTTGAGAACCATATACAAAATAAACCTTGACTACATTCACCCTATTCTGCTGGAGTTCATTATTCTTAACAATGTTAGAAACACATTCAACATGAAGCAGGAAGAAATAAGTATGACAAGGAAACTAGTAGTCTGATTGCTCTTCTAAAATGAAACAAGGCTACATTTACAAGCTAATAAGGCATAGTTTCTCATTTAATCAAGTAAAGCTCTTGCTCTTTCACTTCACATATCAATGGATTGGGAAATACCTGGAAAAGCAAAGAAAATAGAACGAGGAGAGTCAGCAGTAGCAAGATAACACAGCAGCAACAGTTCTTAACCAGCTGATCTCACCAAGACCTCAAACCAAACTCCACACGATTCAAACTCAGCCTTCTAGACTTAGATTCAAACCATCTTTTAAACCCAGATCAACTAACAATTGTTTTAGACTTAGAAAGCTTCAGAAACTAACAAAAAAAACAATGGAACAGTAGAATTTTTGTGTTTTTCAGCTGTTTCAGAAATCCCTTTTTTTCTCTCTCTTCAATTCTCTATGAAACAGTAAAGTTTTGCAGTTTTTTTTTTATATTTTTCTGGATTTTCAGCTCTCAAAAATTTCTTCAGCTTTTTTTTTCAATATTTTTCAGAATATCCACTCTATTTTTTCAGAATTTTTCGGATAATCTCTGTATCTCAGTCTTGTTCTTAAATAGGCAGATGAAAATGCCCTCTAATACACAAAACTGGCCTTTCAATATTTAACAATTCGACTCCACTTACTCAGTGCTCTTTAGTTAATTCATTAGTGAACTGTTACCCCTACCATAATGGAAGCTTCTCTGAGTGACCACTTATATTTAATCAATCCTTAAATAAGAATTTAAATTACTCCTAATTATTCTGACTAATCCTAAAATTCGAAAGGCTCGGAGATTACTGTAACTAACAGAATGAATTAACTAACTCAGATGACATGAATAATTGCCAAAGAAACTCATGAATAAATAGACCAAATCGACGAACAAATTTTAGTTCGTCCCCAGATGCTAAAAAATAAATAAACTGAACCCGTCCAAATAAACATTCTAAAAGAAAGGAGTAGAAGCATATAATAAAAAAAAATTAAAAGAAACTAGACTTTTGGACACCTACCTCTGATTGAACCCTGCCTTGAACTCAGACCTCCGATTCTTTTGATTTTGAAGCCGGAATAGACCTTAATCGAGTGTTCTCGACTGAGAACACACAACTAAGGTCGATTACGACCTCAATCCTTCAACCGTGTACTCGATTTTGGGGTTTGGGATTTTAGGGTTCGTTCATTCAAATCCAGATTCGAAGGGTTCTAATCTGATTCGAAATGAAAGGGTTGTGGATTAGAGAAGAGGGGGTTGAGGTGATCTGGTGGTGTTAATTTGGGGTCGTTAGGAGACGGCGCAGCCACCGGAGAAGGTGGAGGATTTGGGGGCGGCGCTAGGTTTAGGGTGGGGGTCTCTGATGGTGGGGGTGAATGAGGAGACGAGGTGGGGGTTTGGGTATATTAAACATAGGTTTAGTTAGGGCCGTTGGATGATAAGAATCCAACGGCCATGATTGATCTTGTAATGAAAACGGTGTCGTTTGGTTTTAGTAGGGGACTGGGTCGGTCAGGGGAAAACGGGTCGGGGTAAGTCTTTGGGACCGTTGGATCAATAAAATTCAACGGCCTTGATCGAGGGGTCCCAAAACGATGTCGTTTGCTTTGGTAGGGGCGGACCGGGTTGGGGCAGGTTTGGGCTGATTCTGGGGTGGGTTTTTGGCTGGGTTTCATTTGGGCTGGAGTTTTTTGGCCCAGACTTGATCAACCTTTTTTCTCTTTTCTTTTCTTCCTTTTTCTCTCAAAAATTAAAACTAAAAATCCTAATTAAATTATAAAACCCAAATTACCTTATCAAAAATACTAATTAACTCTATGTAATAATTATCACAAATAATTAAATACCTAATTAAAAGAAAATCACACAATTTGGACATTAAATACTAAAAATGCAAAGTATGTTATTTTTTGTAAAACAACAATTTTCTTAATTAATCTAAAAATGAAAATTAAATCCTAAATGCAAATGCAACATATTTTTTTGTATTTTTTAATTACTAAATAAATAAGCAGGCACAAACAATATTCACACAATAACAGAAAATGCCACTAAAATCCACAAAAAGTCACAAATAATTGAAAAAAAATTATTTTGTTTTGAATTTTCTGGGAGTAATTCGTACAGGGCAAAAATCACGTGCTCACAACTGCCTCGAGGAGCGTTGTTACGCCGAAAAAACCTCCCAATATTCCGGGCCCGGGGGCACGTGTCAAGAATTGCTTCTTCGGTGGTAAAGGAGGACCTCGGGGTAATCAGGAGAAAATATGGATTGGGGGAAGGCGCGGTCCTGCAAGTCCCCTCCCCCGAGGAGAGCGTTACGACGTATGTTGAAGGCTTCTTGAGCGTGTATACCGGCGTTCTCGCGCCAGGTTCCTTGGACTGGGTTGTGCTTGATTTTTGTAAAAGGTATCAACTAACGCTAGCACAGGTTTATCCCTTCTTCTGGAGCATAGTATGGTCGATGAGATACTTTACCGATAGGGCTGGGATAGAGTTTACTCTTAGTCATCTCATAAGGTTGTACTGGCCATTACGCTTCCGAGGCCTGGTTGCTCTTCAACGTAGGTCTACTCGAGCTCCTATGATCGGCGGTCAAGAGGATGACGACCAGGGGTGGATGAGCCAGTTTATTCGAGTTCGGACGACCGACGTTATCCCCGGAGAATTCTTACCGTTCCCTGAGAAATGGAGCTCCACACGTAAGCACTCTGTTCGTGCTATCCTTTTCTTCGTATGAGGTCGGATCCATAATGATTTTTTCCTGTCTTTTGCTTATAGCAACTCATTGGTGCGACGAGGTTCTGGACTTAGCCGAATGGTCTCGCAAGCTGGAGGCATGCTGGACTCATGCCAGGCACCGGTGGCGAGATCTTTCAAACGGGAGGTGGGAGGTAAATTATCATGGTAGGTGCCTGGCGTTCTCTTCCCACCTCTCTCTTTTGTTTTTCAGGGGCAGCCTCCTTTTGGCTGGCCTATTTGGTTCTCCTACTGTAGGCATCGAAAATTCATTCGAGGCGAGACCGCCGATTCAGGAGCCGAGGAGTGCTGGCAAAAGGAAAGATGTTCCGTGGTGTGAGAAGGCTTGCGGTGAGGTGCCTTCCCCGCAGCGGTTGAGAGGAAATGATTCGGTCGGTCGGCTGGCTTCCAGGACTGAAGCTTTATTGGACATAGCTTCGGCCCTCGGTGAGGCTCACTGTTTTGGCCTTGCGGTGAGTTTTCAACTGTGATAAGGATGTTCCGACCCGGTACTTTATTTTTTCTTTTTTCTTCATGCGCTTGGCTTCTCTTTCTCAGGCTTTTGACACGCTCAAAGTCGAGCTGCTTCTTCGCGAGACCCATTTGCGGGAAGCTCGGGAAAGGGGAAAATCCTTCAAGCTTTTCTACGCCGTAAAGGAAAATGAGCTCGTTTCTTTAAGGTGCGGGGCGGATTGAAACCGTGCTTGAGAGGCCCTGTTGGAGAAACAGGTATTCCGCATTCCGTGTTGGCTCGTATTCCCTTCCCTCTTTCTATCTTGCCGGCCTTTGAGACGCTGCTGTCACAGTTGAAGGGCAAGGCGGATGAGCTGGAGTAGCTCTGGGGCGAGGTTGGCGCTGCCAACCAAGAATTCACCAAGCTACGAGCGCGTGTTAGTGCCCATTCTGAGGCCAAAGATAGAGCTCAGGCCGCGGTATCCGTTCATGAGGTGCAAATTCAGGCTGCTTGTGCAAATGACTCTGCTCGGGGGAAGATGATCGCGAGGCTCTCATCCGAACTATCGAGGGAAAAAATTGAGGTGGCGAACGTCCAGTCCGAGGTCGTGATAAATAACACCCGGGCGTGGTAAAAGATAGCGGCCTATTCAAAGAGCGCCGCCGTTGCCAGGGCCGAGCTAAAGAAGGCCCTTGATCATGCAGGCAATAACAGGGAATATGAAAAATGCAGATCCCGGAGGGAGACCCTTGAAGAGATTCATGCCAGGGGCTTCGATCTCTCGGATGAGATCAGACGTGCCAAAGGAGCGGAGTTTGATGCCAAGTTTCTGATATCTAATGATGAAGAGGAGGCCGATGGGTCGTAGTTGCTGAGAGAAAGGAACAAAGGGGGAACAAATATCCCCTGCCTTCTTTGCTGTGTATATATGTATATAGCTTTCACTATACGATGCAAGCCGAGATTGCTCCCTGTCATTGACATGTAATAATAATGAGGGGAAAAACCCCGCGACTTGTAATTTATGCATTTCTGTTGCCTAGAGAGATTTTTACTAGACCGTTTCAATCACGGAGTATCCTTTTGGCTTGTATTTTTTAACTACCTTTCGGGATCAGTCTCCGAGTCGGGATCCGACTCTAGCTTATTATACCTTTGAGCTCGTTCGGGCTGGCGACAATTTTCGGGTCCAGTCTCCGAGTCGCGTTGCGATTCGAGCTGTAATCGACCCTTAATCTTTTCGGAGATTCCGATTGGTGATAGTAGTATCGATGCCACACCCTTGGGTGTGCTATAATTTTTGGGTCCAGTCCCCGAGTCGTGTTGCGACTCGAGGTGTAGTCGACCTTCGAATCCTTTTCGGCCAGCGACAGTGGCTTTTTTGTTGCTTGGTCGTTTGAGACCTTTTAGTATGAGGCCCAGAGGCTTTGTTTAGTTAACTATTTTGGATCCGGTATCCGAATCGAGTGATGATTCGAGCTCACTTTAATCCTCAAGTTGTCAATTTTCAAGCTGGCGACAATGGCTCTTACGTTGTATGGTCGTAGAGACCTTTTGATGTGAGGCCCGGAGGCTTGCTTCGCCGGCGACAATGGCACTTACACTATTTGGTCGTAGAGACCTTTTGATATGAGGCCCGAAGGCTTTTTGTAGGCTTTGTTTCCTCTCGTTAAGGTCTTATTGAATGTTTTTTCCTGACCCGTCGTGGGTTCTAAAAGAACCTCGATTTCAAGTCGTAGTCGGTGATGTCTTGAACACCTCGTAAGGTTCACAGCTCATAGGTCGAGTAGATCGACGCTTTGCGATTTTGGAGCCGACGTGGTCTGGACTCGATTTTTTCCTGTTGAGGGAAGCCTATTTTTAACCGGTTCTTTTTGAAGTAGATTCGGAGGATTTTTTAGCGACAGTCGGGCGTCCCCGAGTCGTGTTTTTGGGCTGTAGCAGCCATTTTGACCGGAGTCATGTGCGTTTGGTCGATGCCATTTTTTATCCCGAGAAGCAGTTTTAGGCGTCTACGCCGAGGTATGCCCTTTAGGGATTCTTACAAATGCGACGTATAGCCTAAACTATGGGATTTTTTCATGCCTATTGAGGTCTTACAGTTTACCATGCCTGTTGAGGTCTTATAGTGTATGGAGAATAGACCTGGTTGTGCGGAGGCTGCCCCTTAGGGTCTTACAATTTTGGATTTTCCAGTACATGGCGATTGGAGATGATTTTCCGAAACACCGAGTTTCGCTCAAGCTTGAAGACAGATTTTTGCAAACCCAGAGTTGCATTTGCGAGGGCTTTATGAGCCCGAGATTCCGACCCCTAGGTAGGGCGGATGCTAAAGTGTTTTAAGTCTTCGAGTGTCTCGGGACATATTCAATGGAGAGGTTTCCCGCTGTGGAAAAGCCGAAATAATCTTCTTTGAAGCATGGAGTGCTTAAAAAATATTCTTTATTGCTTGGCGAAAATATAAGTCGTAAATACATGTTGTCCCGTTGCTGTGAGTTTTGTCCTCACGGCTTACTGCAAGATTCCTTAATTAGACTACCCAATATACCCTTAATTCAACTCATGAATTGCTAACCTAGTCAAACTAACCACCAGCCCTGTTAACTTGATCAAAAATTGACCATGGTCAATTAACAAAGACCCTAAACATTTTCAGCAGTAATCAAACAACACTTCAATTAATCAAAAACTTTAAAAATTAAACTAAACCTAATTTTAATCCTAAATTAATCCCTAACAGTTCCAAACTATTGGGCAATTGTCAGGAATCTAAGAAAACAAGTGAGAATTACTCAGCAACACTGGTCATGAATTAACATCAATATGAACAGAGAAAACAAAAAATCAGAAACTTAAACTAATCTAAACTACAAAACCTAGAAAATTAATTACTGCCAACAAAAATAAAAATAAGCATGGATTTAATCAGAAAACTAATTTAAAAAAGAATAAACGAAGGAAGAAAAGAAAACTCACCTATGTAAGGCTTGGACAGGTACTGGACTCCGATTTGAGTCTCAGAATGATGTTAAACCTTTGTTCTTCGCCAAGAACAAACGAAAACATTATTTTGGGACTCAATCAAACTCTGGACTTATGAAAAATTGGGAAAGAAATCTCACAACTTCAAACTCTAGGATTCTATTTTTTTTATTTGAAATTCGAGG